AAATGAGAAGAAATATATTAGAGAGTCGAACTGACTAATTAAATATTGTTTTTAATCTTCTTAAGCTTTGATCAGTTGCAAAGTTTCAATATTTTTTCGTAGAATTTGTGTGTGTGTAGGGGGGTATGTGTTTCGGTATGATATATTTATGTTTCTAATTGTTTATTAAAAATTTCCAAATGTATATTAGCTAATGCAATACTCAAAGGTAGCTAGATATCTCAGAAACAACGGTGTACCTCCTATTGTTATTGAATGCATTCATTTCGAACTTGAACTTTTAGGTATGGGTGATTTTTCAGAGGGGGGGGGGGCTGTACAATGTATGCCTGAATGAGGTTATAAGTAAAAACTTCTGCCTCCAGTTTATCCCGAATGAAGGTAAATTCGCCTGAATAGTCGTATTTTCTGCTTCTAATTTTGTCCGAATGAAAACTGAAAATTTGCCCTAATGGTCGTAGGTATTGCAAGCTAGGAGGGCTGCTTCCCCCTCCTCCTATCTCCTCGTACGCCCATGGGTAAGGCAATATGCTCAATTCATTTAGGTACAGAACAATCATTGTTGGAATAAAATGTATAGTTTTCTTTGTTTGGTTTATCACATAAAGAAAGACAAAAGATATAAGAAATGTTTTACAGAAATTCATAAGTTGATGTGAAAATATCATTTCAGAACATCGTAGTGATATCAAAAAGCTCTTGTAAGTCTTTAGAGTCTGGACGCCACAATAAAATTAATTCATGCACTGGATATATATATTTGTTTGTCTTTCGAAATAAATGTTGCCTATTTGGTTTACAATTATAATGATGCTTTTATTAGAAAGCTTACTTGGAATAATAAAAAAGTAGACTTATATCAATATCATAATGTTTCAGTTCTTGACGTTTTTTGTCTTGTGTCATTCAAGAAATTAAAATTTCTGTCGTTCCTCGTGCATCAGGTTGCCAATGGTCATAAGAATAACCATTCTTCTTCTTTATATTTCCATAAAAAAAAAACTCGTTGGCCGTTATTTTAAGTGAGATAAATTTGAACTGAATAAATTAAAATAAAGTATTAAAGAAAATATATGAAGGATGTCTTTAAAACACGAGTTATCTCATCAAATGTCATGCCAAAATGCTTTTGGACTGCAGTTATGTACACGTACCTTGTTGGCGTCAACTATATTCTGCGCACAGACATACCTGTACAAAACAGACCGATCACTCAGTGCAGTATCAGACGTGCATTTGACTTATCGAGTAGGTTTTCCTGGTATGAATTGTTTATTGACTAAACAGTAGGGTGGCCATACGTCCCAGATTTCCGGGTACAATCCCTCTAAAAAATATTCCCGAAAGTGGTCCTGGTTCGAAAAAAATCTTCCCGAAATACTCTTGCATTACATTTCTTATATTATGAAATCTGCAGCAGAAATAGATTAGAAATAAGTACACAACATGTTTTATGATGATGATTATTAGCGTAGATATAGACGTATATAGCATCGTCGTGTGACGACACTGATGCAGTCGCGATAGTTACGACCTTGAATATGTCATGTTATTTTTATTTTAAGAACATGATGGCGTACTATAAAGAAATGAGATACATTTGGTATTACACTTAATTGTTAACAAATGAAAATGGCATTGTCAAAGAAGCCTAAATGTTGCTTGCATCTGGTATTATGGCGATTATATGATACAAATCTGTATACTATTACGAGTGTCCCTGGATTTGGCTTACAAATTTCGTCACCTTACTAAACAGAGTTCAGTACTTTAATAACTCAAGTTGAGCAGAGAGTAACATATAGAAAAAAAACATAGCGTGGTTTACAAAATGTCTGTGAAGGCTAACCAAAAGGGACGGCATTGACGCTTATTTTTTTGAAAATACTTTTCTTTCGAATGCTGTTCAAAACCACAAGTCTTTACAACAACGAACTGAAATTTTTAACTGACAGCCTCTTCCAAAAGGATGAACCATATTAAACTTTCACGCAGGTTCTCTTGTAACTCATAATATTTTCAACTGTATAACTGAAATAATTCAATATTCGTCTCACACTTAAAACATTATGAAGTATATTTGGTCAAAAGACAATCACTGGTATATATATATATATATATGAGCCTAAAAGTGTGTTCGTAACAGAAATTTTAGATGTGTGAAAGTATGCTTAATAAAAAATTTTAATAGTAAAAAAAAAAGTCCAGAACTAGTACAAATAGCTGTGAATGACATGCAAGTTATCAAAGGTGAGAGAAAACACACGTTATCAGAGAACAACCATACATACTACAGTGTATATAAATAAACACGGATCATCATTGGTTTTCGGTCAAAAATATTTTACATGTTTTTGGTGAAAATCTAACCTAAGCCTGGCCAAAACTTTCTTTTTGCATTATTAATATTACTGATATCACAGATAAGCTGATATTTCATATTCAGTTTCAACTTAGTAGCAGTATAAATTAACAATAGGCGGCATGATTCCTGTTTCGAACGTGATTTTCTCGTCATTAGAATGTTCATGTGTTTTATTCCTTACGTTGTCTAAAGCCTCGACATTGTGCGGGTGGAGTCAGTAAAGATATCATTGAAACACTAAAGTGAACGATGTAGGCTTTATAAGTAATAGTGAAGATTATATGAAAGTCTTTCTTAGATACAATTTACCATTCATTCGTTAAATGCAAATTCAAAAGCTGACGATGTGCTTTCAGCATATATATATATTCCATTCACTATATTATAGTGAATTTATTTGCTAAATTTAGATAAACGCAACCATCTTAAAAACTTGAAGCTTCTTAATTCCTATAGTTTTAAAAATGTTCTTGAAATTAGTTAATATATTGCTGACCTTTTCTTTTTGGAAATCAGTTTGTCTTTCGATCAGCAAGTAGGCAACGACGATATGGATTCTTAGACATGTTGATTTCTCATATAAACATTCATTATATCTGAAACTGATTACTCGATGCAATGGGGTAAATGTTTATAATCGGCACTTTTGAAAGTTTTATAGCCTAAATTACAGAAAAACAGCCATATTATTTTTTCTAAATTCTGATTTTAATACGTATATCTGTCTTATATTGTCAATTGACTTATTTACATGTACTTTTTACAATTTTAGTTTACTCTCTGCACTATGTTCTACTGACACATTTTAGCATAACTTTAGTCGAGATATGATTCTCACGATGTGCCAAAACACTTTCATTTTGTTCATATAAATTTTCCCACGTTGTAAAACTTAGGTTTGAGCGTGAATCTAAAGTCAGTAAAGAAAGCGTTTATTTCTGTTTAAACGTTGACTGGAAGGGGGTTGTAACTTAGCATAGCCAGCAATATGGTTTCTCTCTCTCTCTCTCTCTCTCTATATATATATATGATTGTAGCACCATTTTTATGGAAAACATATTCTACTAAAAATCATGTTGAACAACATATCTTTTGACTCGTAGGCTGCACAAGAGTAGTTGTGCAATGACTATTTTCACACTAAAAAAGGACTATATTTTCGAACAACGTTTAAGCTGACGATGATAATGACAACCGTAAAGAATTACTTTATAAATAAAAATGTTTTAAGCCGTTAAAATATTACTTTTCTTATGTTGCTTGTATGATTTACGTTATTGACAATGTTCAAACATCAATACGTATTTCATTGTCTTGATTACATACGTGCACACACACATGTATGCATATACATTTGTTATACATGTTATGTTGACAAGTTCGTAAAATAGTGATCATGCTCTTTGCTTAGATAGCATTTAGACCTAAATTTCATATATCATAGATTAAGTAGCCATGACAAAGCAGTTTATTATACGGACCTGCTTCAGCAACCGGTGGAACTTACTCGTTCTAAGACTCCTTTGAAAATTGAATAGTTATTTTGATCGTTGGATCATTTTATGGATGCATGAGGTTCAAATGTCTCAAAAATATTTGACATATATATAAAAAATGGACTTGGTAAAATAGTGAGATAGCTTGGTTGTTTGTTATTAAGCACAAAGCTACTCAATGAGCTGTTTGTGCTGTGCCCACCATGGGTATCGAAACCCGGTTTTTAGCGCTATAAAGTGAGATAGATACAGAAGTAACACATAGTGATCCACAGATAACAGTACTAGGTGAAAGGTCAATGCCATAACAAACATTATGCCGTGTTATTTTAGCCCCTGACCTTCGGTCAGAATAGGAGTGAATATCACTTTCCAAATGGAATTGTACTAAGTTTTAATGACTTGTTTTGCTTTGTGGAAATATAATCACTCAATGTGCATGCGCATAAGGCTACACAGCCCAGCAGGAAAAGCCCAAGCGGAGACTGCCGTTTATTTGATCACTCCGCCCGTTGCGACTGCAGCTCGTGTCAAATAGTTCCAAGCCATTGCTGATATTTTTGGCTTTTTATGCGTGTGTAATCTTCATAGTTGCCAATGCATACTGATATTAGTCGATTTTATTATGGTTCTGTGCTGAAACAAGGCTTTCCAATTACCTTGATCGTTGCATGGCTCATCATGTGACTAAAGCTGTGGTTAACAAAAAAAACAAATCGATGTTACACCACATGCTAATCAAACTTTTATTATTAACAAAAGCAAGACCGAAAATTAAATCCATCACTATAAGCAAAATGGAACTAAAGTATTGTTAATATATTCTTCCTTGTTACGAGGATCCAGATTTGATTCTGGACCATAAATATGATGCTGCCGTATGTTTTATGGTGTAGGTGTTGAGCATAGTATGACAACATGTATTACATTTTACACTATTGCACAACTTAGCACCTAAAATAACATAGCATTAAATCAGATACTTCAAAATGTTCAGTGCATTTCTGTAATACACGGTAAAATATTCAATATTATCATAATATGTCATTTAGTTCACTCATGAGGTAGAATCTACATCAAAAAGATTAACAAGAAAGTGTACAAAAAGTAAACAAAAAATATCAAACACTCTTGTTCGAGAGCATGAATCAATCCATATCTGTACATTCTTTCAACACTGACTTCTAAATTATAACCAAAAACTGTTTCACAAGGTAGTGTGATGCCCACAAGTGATCCCCATGCGTTCACCTGCCAGAGATGGTTCTTACTAGATCACGTGATCGTCTCCCTCCTGGTGCTGACTTGCCGATACAGTTGGGCTGATTTGGTGGAGGCATCAGACGAAAAGGGCTCCAGCTACCATCAAGCGCGTAAGGTAGGTTTATTTCAATATTTAATAAAGTTGTTTTTTAGGAAGTTGTCATCAACACATTCGTTATGATAAGGTAGCACCTTCCAATATTGTAATGTTACTTTCCGTAGCACATATATAAGTTATACTTATGTTGTGACTTTTATCAAGCTGTCTTTTTTGGAGTCATCCGCAATGGGTTTTAATGGACGGCATTTTGTAAGGATGGAGTAGTCGACTTGCAGAAATAATATGGCGCTCGCAAGAACAGAATCCTTTCAGTTTCACCTTTTGGGGCTGTCAGTTAACCTCTTGTGATTTTACTTTCTCCTGTGTTTATGATATTGCTTTTTAACAACATGAAAGCTGAATAGATACGTAACAAATGATAATATTCGTAGGTACTGATAATCTTTTTTTTTTTTTTTCTAGATCTGTTTCATTAACTTATAATTTATATGTTACAATTTGCAAGAAGGTTGCCACATGAAGTTATAAACTGCACTGATCATTTAAAAGTTTTAGTTATATTATAGGATTCGCAATGTTTACTTTTGCCAGCAACATATATGTGTACTAGGGTTTCTATATGGATTGTATTCACATTACTGTGAATATTTAACTTTTAAGTAAAGGTACTGCTGTTTTTACAAGTGCTGTAACTTGTAAGTGTAACGAAAATGTTCATAGGATGCTATAATTTAATTTTTTGGGTTGAAAATATAACTTTGCTTATAGTTATATGCACAAATTTTTATATAAAAGTATAACACATAAATTATTGAAAATATTCCTATACAAAAGTTGTGTATTTTTACCTATGATACACTGTTCTGTGTAATTTGGTGCAAAATATTGGAATCATTTTAATTGTTTTTCTTTTTTTTAATCAAATTTATATAAAATGATATAGGTTTTTGTGGTTGCTTGGGGTATAGCTGATGTCACATTTAGAGCTTAAAAATACTGAGTAAAATTTCATAATGTGTGTGTATCCTTTTGTTGAATACAAACATAGCATGTATTTCAACTGTAGCAACCACATGCATCTGTCCATATATATATATATATATATAAGGTACATAAGCTGCTTCACTTCTAGTTAAATTTAATTTTAATCTTGGTTTTACTTTGTTGTTCTGAACTATTTGCAATTGTCATATACTGAGCATTGCTAGGGAGGCACTATT